CAAAAAAAAAAAAAACCCAATTAGCTTCAAGATGAGGTATCTGATTCCCCTCCTCATGATTCCAAATCACTACCTGGGGTCCTATCTGAATTTCCTAAAGGGGATTTTTAATATGACATCTTCAGAGCACTATTATTGTGCACTTTGACTGGATATTTATTGGTCTAAAATAACCCTGTACACTGGTGTGACTAACACGTGAAGTACTATGCACATAATTAGATTATGCTGCATACTTAGATGTAGCTTCCATTTTGGGATTAAATCAAGGCAACAAAATTCCTCCATAGTTTTTATTTGGCTACATATAAGGCAAAATAATTTACTGGAAAATTCAATTAAAATGTATCCTTCCCATTTACATTTCAATTTTCAGGTCTTTCCTACTCAACCGCTAATACAGTAGTCAACATTTAAAGTCCGTGTGGAAATAACGTGGCATGCCCATATGCATCAGTGTAGAACACAAACACTGATTTACATGCTGTCTGTGGGGTCTAATCCTCAGTGAGGCATCACCAGGGAAGGACAGCACTACTCTTCCAGGTAATGACAGAAGTCACAGTGATCAAATTTCCTCAGAGATAAATTGCAAATAGTGGCCAGAAAATTAAAAAAAACCTCAAGTCAGAAAAATCATAAGGAATGTTGATTAAAAAGTAGCGTAACACAGGTCGAAAGAAAACCAGCCTGAAACTCAGGAGACCTATATTCAGAAGGTCGCAACTCTGAGAGCAACTTGCCATAGAGACTCATGAAGGCCCCAGCCTCCTCCAGGGGTGTTTGCTCACTGGTGAAACCAGGAGGTTATTAGATTCATCATCCTGCCTCTGGGGTGCTCACTGGGTCTGTTTTATTTAGTATCTCAATTTCTTACTTCTTTAGACATGGTGGGGAAATTGTGACTTTAAATAGCCCCTTCAAAACCAATTTGACAGATCTTCCTTAAAAACTCAAATAAAGTAACAACAAAGTTACAAGGTAATCTTTGGTGAAAAATAACAAGTAGCCGGTTCAGGGTATTGCAACTTACAATATGCTTTACCACACATTACGGAGTGGTCCTCAAAGGTCAGAGAACTTAAGAAACTCCCTTGAGGTCTTAGGACAGCTAATTAGAGGCCATGCCAAGACTCAAATACATGTTTTCTGACTCCATATCCTTTTCTCTTTCAAGTACAAGGTATTCATATAAACATAGGAAGAAAGGGGGAAAAAAAACTAAGCAAAGAATCTGGCTAACTCAAGATTTAGAGAACAGTGGCATTTAAATAAATTCAGAAATATGTGACTGAGCATATTTTCATTGTAACATACCTTTAAAGACTTTTTCTAAAAATGTTTTAATGTGCCATGGAAATGAAAAGGTTTCAACTCATAATTATCTTCATCTGTAAATTCTTTTCCTACACTCCTTCATTTATGTTTAAATCAAACAAATGATTTTATCTTTAAACATGTTACAGTCATGTGGTTTAAAGGCAGGGGATAAACATGGCCGGAGGCACACTCCCCATCTCATTTGGGTAGATGACAGGGAGGCGTATCTTGGTATCACTTTCCATTTAAGAAAGACAGTGTTAGATTCTTTTACTTTGAAAACAGACGTCCAGCAGTTTGCAATTGGTAATGAATCATCAGGTTTTCCTACATATTAGTCTTGACAGATATATTTAATTACTTTTTATTCTATCACCTGTGACTGAGAATGGCAGTTTTAGAGCATGAAAATAATACAAATGCTATCCTCAGATTCAAACATTTTACTATGACTGCTCTAAAAATTTATTGGCAGTAAAGAGGTTGAGAACTATGAATTAGGACTATGAAGAAATACCAGTGGTATAGACTTAAATATTTAGAATTTTATAGTTATCTTCTTAGAAATATCAAAAATATATTTGTAAGAAAAATAGCAGCTGTGAAAATATCCTATTTTTACTGAAAGATTGAACATTTGTATCAATGAAGATCGAATGTCAGTATTATAGCTCCTTTACTGCATTTAAACTGCCCGATACATACATGAAATGTTCACATATTAAAGTCTGATATGACAGGATAACCACACTTACAGAAGTTACATTCAATTTCCTAACCTCCTCTTGTATATAATCAGGTTTTTATTGCACATTGTTCAGTATACCATTAAAAATATTTTGAGATATTTCTCAAATCTAGATGGTCAATTTAAAATACACTGTTAAACAAGCTCCTGTGGTTTTGATGAAAACACACGTTATGAAATTTCTCTGATGTCTAAACATGCAGTCTCAGGTCCTGGACATTACAAATACAACAATATTAAGCAGAGCATATCCCACCAAACATTAACTGTACATTTCAAAGACCACTATAAAAGTGGCATTGATAGTTCATTTCATCACTTTGATCTCAGTAGCACTGTAAGTCTTTCAGTAATCACACCCACTTCAGTGAAATTTATAAAAACACTTATGTACACTTGATACTTTCTCTCGTTTCAAGAAGATACATTTACTGTAAGTTGAGCCTAAACTACATTTTTCTGATAACATTACACTGTAAGAGAGACCACTTTTTTTCAGGGTATAAAGGAAATATATTTAGTATTTTTTAGTAAGTTGATTATACTGATAAAAATTCTTGGGTATTAGATATGTTTTATTAATAGGAAATATGTATATTGCATGTATAATATATTCCACATTCCCAAAACACAAAACAAAAAATTTAACTACTACTAATGAATTTAACTGTCAAAAAAATAAAAACAAACTACATACCTTCTCCTTTTGTCCTGAATAAGCTGAAGTTCTATTAGGCCAAATATGGAGTAAAATGCAAACTGTACTAAAGTTAGGTACCAGCCAAAGGACTTAAAACCCTCCATTGAAAATATTAATTCCTGTCAAGAGATACATGAATACTGTTAAGTTCTTGGGCAAACCAATTTCTTCACAATAAATTCCTATAAACACAACATTAAAAATTTTTTTTTACATTTATTTATTTTTGAGAGACAGAGAGACACAGCACAAGTGGAGAGGGGCAGAGAGAGAAGGAGACAGAATCCGAAACAGGCTCCAGGCTCTGAGCTGTCAGCACAGAGCCCGACACGGGGCTCGAACTCACAAACCGTGAGATCATGACCTGAGCCGCAGTTGGACGCTCAACCAACTGAGCCACCCAGGAGCCCCTATAAACACATTTTAAAAGAAACCAAGCCTCACCACCACCACCACCAAAAAAACAAACAAAACAAAAAAAACCCACCAAAAATCAAAACACCATCCAAATCACAAGGCACCTCAAAGGTAGAATTAGAGAAGTCCAGGAGGCCTTTCCAAAGAACTGAGTGAGAAAAACAAAGGGAGGAAGGCTGGCTATAAAGCAACATTATCCTATGCTTTGCTCTTTAAAAAAAAAAAAAAAAAAGATTGCCAAAATTAAAAATTGCCCCCAAACATTGAGAAAGGTCCCTGGGTCAAGAACTCCTTTATGATACAATAAATATATTTCATTAGAAGTTTATTATCTCAGACCTGTTTTTTCTATAGGAATTTAATCAGTTGAAACCAATGTTATTTTTTGGAATATCTGGGCCACGGATTTTATGAAATTTCTCCTTGTAAATGGTTACTTATCTAAACACAATGTTGTGTCATGAAGTAACATTTATATTAATTGTTAATAAGCCATTATTAACAAGTCATTAAGAGGTATTCCATTTGGCTTAATCCAATAAATCACCCTCCCTCATAAACTCTGAACTAGATACTGTGTAATTCCCCAAATTTACTTCATGTTCAAGTACGTTTGCAAGGTATTTAGGAATTTTCTGGCACATGAACTAAAAAACATGAAAATAGCTTTATTAAGTATGCTAGCATTCAGATATATTATACTTATATATATATAAATAACTTCATTACAAAACCCCACCATTTTCTCTAAACTATTTTAAAGCTTTTCTTTTTTTCATTTATTTTTGAGAGTCAGAGAGCAAGAGAGAGAGAGCACGAGCCAGGGAGGGTCAGAGAGAGAGAGGGAGAGAGAGAGAATCCCAAGCAGAATCTGCACTATCAGTGCAGAGCCTGACACGGGGCTCAATCTCATAAGCTGTGAGATCATGACCTGAGCAGAGATCAAGAATCGGACACTTAACCAACTGAGCCACGCAGGTGCCCCTAAACTATTTTAATATGCTAGCAACATCAGTTGTCACAAAGTGAAAGTGATGTTTATCTAATTTTAAAAGAAGTTTTGCATAGATTATTAAGTCTCTGCTCATTAATCAAACAGAAAAAGATTAATATAAATTTGTACGGCAAACTTCTAATTCATTTTCCTTTCTAATGACTAACTCTGCTCCCAAACTATTTGGTAACAATGGTATTTTGAAGAAGAAATAAAATATTTCTTAACAAGAAACTGCAACCTTTCTTTGATAAAATTTACTATTTTTCATTGCTCTTCATTGTGATATCTGAATGTTTGTATCATCTTCTAGTGGGGAAATTAGTTATTATAAATACTAAGATTTTTAATTCATGTTTTTATTTCACGCTAATACTCCTCATAGCATTTTTACAAGGTAAGGAATAATCAATTCTACCATCTTCTTTATTTATATTTTTATATTTCATCTATATATGATAATCAAAAAGAATACAATAATTTTTAAGATCACTCTAATGAGCTCCAAGAATCAACCATGGGCTAGAATATGACTTTTGTGTTATTATTATTCAATTTTATTGGAGAATTATGTTCCAATATATCAGCGAATACTTGAATCACTCTTTACAAACACATGGGTGCATATTACCCCCATTTTGTTAAACACAATAAATAGTTCAAATTGTGTTCATAATTTTAATTTTTTAAGATGGTCTCTGTTCCTCTCCCATCTGAAATGTTCAACTGTGAAATTTTGATCCCTGAAAAAAGGAGCACACTAACTTTTAGAAAGTCTTTTTCCATATTTAAAAAACTCAAAAATATGAATAAACTGGTATCCTATGGAGAAAACTACCTTGGGTAAAACTATTAGTAATGCTCTTATTGACCTCAACTGTTATAAATAATTAGCATCTTGTAAATAAATATTTTTACCTGTAAATATCCATAAATTAGGTAAAATACAAAAACTCCAGCAACACATATGAAAAACTGAGTAAGTTTGTTAAATCTGCTGAGATTTATGCCAAGCACTACAACGTCATCTATTGACTTGATGTGTGGTGACATTGTCTGTGTTTTGGGAGGGACAGTTATAGAAATATATTTCCTGGAACTGTTGAACTTGAGATCCATTGTTCTTGTTTTGCTGCATTCAGTGCTTCCAAATTTATCTTTGTTGGTTTCCTCTCCTTTGTTCAGTGTTTCTTTTGCTTGCTGAGCCAAGTCCTAAAGAAGGAAATTAGCAATTAAAGCAAAACCTTTGGATAAGATACTATGCTCCAAGTAATAGTTCACATCACACTTTAAAAATTATACAGGCGAGTCTCATTTTCTCTAGATATTAATATAGTAATTCCTCTATTCAAACTTCTAAGCAACCAAAAACAATGTCTACTCTCCAATTGCCTGGTAAAGACTAATATCGCTAAACATAATGCCATTCTCATTCCCACAGCAAACGTCAAAAGCTAACTTAGTGTTTATTTTTTATCTTTGTGTTTACTTATCAAAGAAGTAAATATGCTTTTATTGTTTTTATATGTATTATGGATATGATTTTTAAAGCCCATGACAGTCTATGAGTAACATCTTCAACATTAAAGTTGATCTTTAATTGCACAAAAAAAACTAATGCTCCCTTAAATACTAATACAATTTAAAATATACTTGCTAAGGATGTTTTAAAATAAACTCAAACAACTATAAGTTACTTTTAAAAAAGCTAGATTTGGGGCGCCTGGGTGGCGTGGTCGGTTAAGCGTCGACTTCAGCCAGGTCACGATCTCGCGGTCCGTGAGTTCGAGCCCCGCGTCGGGCTCTGGGCTGATGGCTCAGAGCCTGGAGCCTGTTTCCGATTCTGTGTCTCCCTCTCTCTCTGCCCCTCCCCCGTTCATGCTCTGTCTCTCTCTGTCCCAAAAATAAATAAACGTTGAAAAAAAAAAAAAAAAAAAAAAAAAAAAAAAAAAAAAGCTAGATTTGTCAGAGACTATAGAAAGGATGATATGCTTTAGCAACAGCATTTCTTAGGTTAAAAGATGTTTCCTTCCTTTGGAAATCATTTTAATTTAAAAAGTCTTTGGGGAGTTGTTCAATGGATTTCAAGTTTCAGTTATACAAGATGAGTAAGTTCTAGAGACTCACTATAGGACATAGTGCCTAGAGTTAACAACATGGTGGCGTGCACTTAAAAATTTCTTAAGAGGGTAGATACCATGTTATACATTTTTAACCACACACACACACACACACACACACACACACACACACACACACACACATACACACACACACAGAGGCAGACACATGGAAACTTGTAGAGATGACAGATATATGTATTACCTTGATTATTAGGTGATGGTATCATAGGTATATGCATATGTCCCAACTCATCAAATTGTGTAATGTTAAACATGTGTAGTTTTTTTTTGTATAAAAATTATACCTCAATACAGCTGTTTAAAAAAAAAAGAAATAAAGAAGTCTTTGGGATTATAAAAAGCTGGAAAACATCATTTTTTGTTAGTCTGAAAAAAAGTCATGAGGACTCTGTAGATGACTGTCAGTTTCTCTTTGGATTTATATAAACTGAAAAATGAATTCCAAGTACAGGGTGAGGAGAGAGCAGAGTTAGGACAACTAAACACATTTATGATGAAAAAATTATCCTAGAAAAGACTGTCTTTCACAACCCCAATGGGGACTAAAATTCAGACTAGTTCAGTAAAGAGGATGGATAAGGATAATTTTGACAAAACTGTCTTCATGGCTTAAAATGGCAAGACTTAGTCACTTGATCACTTCTCCTTTGCTGATCACAGAGATTAAGCAGGCCATCTTTAGTAATTTAAATATGGATCCAGGTTCTGAATACAACTTGTAACTAACCACACTCAGGCATCAAAGAACATTTGTTTTACAGTGCACCCGCCAAATTTCTAAAGAGAAAAAGCATAATTTTAAAAAGTTTTACTGTATTTCTTTTCCTTTACCTGTTTCTTCTTCTTTATATATTGTTCTTCCTTCCCACACTATGTTTCAATCACTGCCATCTCTGAGTTAAGACTTTTTAAGACATCTTGCAGGACACCCTTGAGATCTGACTTTCTTTATAAATCATGCTTCAAATGATCTTGAATGTAGAAGAAACAAAAACCTGAGTAACTACTTTCCACATGTGTAGGCATGGATACAGAGTACCATTCAAATAAATCTGATCCCCCTTAAGCTTCTCCTCCCTCCACATCTTTCAATCAAGCCCCAAACTGCCCACAATGGACTACTATTTCATTCCAGAAATAGACCATGGACTTTCAAACACCTCTACCTTATGTTAATGATGTTCTTTCAGCCTGATGTCTTCTTTCTCTAGGTCAGGGTTTGAAATAAGCTTTAGCGTTCCTTCCTTTGTGATACCCTCTCTAATTCCCCAGCTGGGAGAGAACAGAACTGAAAAGGCAAGACTCAAATCTTACTTATCTCTCCGTTCTTGGGATCCGGCATGCTCTGCACCCTTAAAAAGGAACCAAACAAATTGGCCCTTCGTCTGGAAGTCCTGAAACCCCAGCTTGCAATCACTCTGTCTACCTGACTATGATTTTTCAAATGTACTGTGGTGGTGGCAAACTTTGTGAGCAAAACTAAAAATCTTACAGAAAACAGGTTGAGTAGGATGTGCAAATATTGATTATATATTTACACGAGAGAATAAAACTTCTAGAAGACCTCTTTCCTGCTTTTGTTAGTATCAAAAATTTCTCCCCAACCATATTCTGCTGAGATGTTTGTAATTTAGCAAAATGCCTGGCATATTGCAGTGACTCAAAAAAATTATAGCTACCCTTATGAGAAAGCAGTACAGCATGGTGCTTTCCCTATGCTTTGGATTTTTGACAGATCTGAGTGCACGACCCAGCTTTGCTAACTGATTAGCTGAAGAACCTTAAGCAAATTCTTTTAACCT